AGTATTTACTAAGCATGTATTTGTTTTATACCCTGTGATGATATCAAGTCCTACCATGTTAAGATGAGTGCCAGGGACTCAGAACTTAGTGTGGGGTTTCTCCACCCGTCTCCCCCAGCACACCCAGGAGATTGCTGCATTCCTGCCAGCCAGCTCAGTGGTCCTGACATGGCGGGGGGCGGGGGTGGGGGAGATTGCCACACACACCCATGTGAGAAATCACAAGCACATATGCAGTGGCACAGGTAGAGGAGACAGGTAAACAAGTCAGGTAGGGACCAGGTCATGGACCAGGCCCTGGGTGTGTGATGGGCAGGACAGGAGGCAACTTGAGTACAAAATCTTGGAAGGAAGATGGGCTTGCTGGGAGGATGTTGGCCTTGGAAGGGCAGGAGATGGGCATGTATTCATGTTGGAATATTCCCTGGCTCTGCCTGTGTCTTACACAGAGGCAGCTCAGTATAGTGGAAGGAACAACACGGTTGACTTAGGAAGGTATGGGTTTTCACAGCTAAGAGACTGGAAAAGTTTCTTAAACTCTTTGAGCCTCAATGTTCTTATTAGTAAGATGGGTTTGTGCAATCCTCCATGTCTACCAAAAGGAGTGTTGTGAAGCCGAAATGCAATGAGGAGAGGTTCCTCACAGACTGTGTTATATCATGTGAGCCAAAAGTTTGCCAGAAGTTGTAGATAGAGCTGCTGGTTGGTCCTGTGCTCAAATTCTGTGAATCTCTGTCATTACCCAGATGTGACTGAGAAAATTAATCTCTTTCCCTCCTCACTAAGATGGGGTGACAAAAACGTTATTTATGGTTTTTTTACTTGCTGAAGGCTTGAGGTCCCTAATGGATCCCAAACTACATGCAAAGTCCCAAATGTCATGTGCTGTGTCCCCAGTGCTGGAATAGTGTCTGGTACCTAGAAGGTGCTCAGGAAGTAAGGTTTGTCTGGCCAAGTGAATGAATGGGTGAATGAATGAGGAGTCCGGGAACATTAAAGCAGGAGCAGCGCTATCGAGACGGAGCTCACGTCTTCCTCCTTCTTGCAGGACTCGGGTCAAGCTGGAAAGCCTGGAGGATGCCTACATTCTGCGGGGAGGCGACGACTCCCTCTCCGACAAGCATGGCTGCCCCGCGTACGTGAGCCCGGAGATCCTGAACACCAGCGGCAGCTACTCGGGCAAAGCGGCCGACGTGTGGAGCCTGGGCGTGATGCTCTACACCATGCTGGTAGGGCGGTACCCTTTCCATGACATTGAGCCCAGTTCCCTGTTCAGCAAGATCCGGCGTGGCCAGTTCAACATTCCAGAGACCCTGTCACCCAAGGCCAAGTGCCTCATCCGAAGCATCCTGCGGCGGGAGCCCTCAGAGCGGCTGACCTCGCAGGAAATTCTGGACCATCCTTGGTTTTCTACAGATTTTAGCGTCTCGAATTCAGGATATGGTGCTAAGGAAGTGTCTGATCAGCTGGTGCCGGACGTCAACATGGAAGAGAACTTGGACCCTTTCTTTAACTGAGCTCATGCCTCACGGGGACCGAGCAAGTACCAGGAGTGGGAGGGGAGCAGAAGGGAGTTCTTCCAGGAAACACGTATCACCTGGCGTGGCAGCAACAAGGACACTGACACTCACACGGTTCTTGGTTCAAAGAAGGAAAACCTTCAAGGAGCTGACTGAACATGTAGCATGGGGACAAGAGTTATGGGACAGGGGTCGGGACCCGGGTCTGGTTGGCTGGATGGGAGCCTCCTGAAGCTTCTCCTCCTTGATGTAGACCCCGGAGGCCACCCATCAATTGGGCCATTTCCACCTACCCCACTTTCCGTTTTGTTCAAAAATAGCTACAGACCCTGACAGAATCAGAACTCTCTGCCTCAAACACACATCTTGGCATCGCACTGTTAGCGTTTAACTTCTTGTTATGATTCAGGGAAGGTACAATTGGCCAAGGATTTTTTTTTTTCCGTTTCAAATAAGCCAACCACCTGTCTGATAATTAATGGGGTTCATTAAAAAAAAAAATTCGGTGCACACAGACCGACATGAAACCTGGGTGCTAAACTAAAAGGAAATAAAAATCCAGTTTGTGTCTCTTAATTGCGCTCTTCAACTCATTTCTTCAAAATAAACCATTTAATAGCCTGGTCAGGAAATGACAGGTCAATGCTTTGCTCCCTGAAGGGGGGGAAAAAAAAATCTGTCATTTAACGAGATATTCTGTTTTGTGTCAAATGGTTTGTGGCAAGAAGCTATGAGAAGTCAAACTTCTAGATGCATTTTTTACTGCTGTCGTAGTTTAAAGAAAGGAAAGAAGGGCAGAAAAAGAAAAAAGAGAAATTGAACTCAAGTTTTTCCTTTGAGTGGCAAGGGCTGCCGAGACGAAAGCAGCGGCTTGAGAGAGTGGGGCACTGCAACATCGCTTTCAACATTCTGTCTTTGTTTTACTGAAAACTAGTGAAACAAAGCAGGTTGTCCCACATGTATAAAATACAGGGCAGCTATTTAGTTTTCCTTACGAAGAATGATTCTTTTGGCTTCGGAGGCCCTCTGGTTTGGACAAAAACCCTCAGTAGAGACAAGTGGGAAGGAAAACAAGCTGAAAGCTGGGGCGATATAAATAAAAACAGCTCTCTATCCCAATACGCACCTTTGTATTTTCAAGAACTGTTCTATTTATTAAGGAAAATGTCACATTGTGATGTATTAAGCCAGTACTTCAATTACGGGTTGACTTGGGGTGACATGTTACATGCTGTAGTTAACATTTATATATATATTTTTTTCTTGTTTGAGTATTTCTGTCCCTGAAATAATCTCTTCTTTGGCTTTCCTAGATAGCTTGATTTGATTTCGAGTGGCAAATGTTTTCTTCTTATGGCTTTTCTATTGCTGTATGATACAGAACTCTTTTGGCATAAATATTTGTGTTTCCAGTACCTCAGTTGGATTTTACTGCCTGTACACGTTTTGTGAAATGGTCATGTTTTTGGGTAGGTAACACGTGGACTCTAGGATGTAAATGTTACTTGAATCTGTGCTTCACTA